AAAAAGATAACTTTTCATGCCATTGCCTGGACCCTTGGATCTTCTTCCTAAGGATCTTCTTAATATTCTTGTTAGCTACTTCAACGACTTCATTAGCTTTAGGCTGGTAGGGGCAGAATGGCGATGCATAATTTTAAATTGCTCGCATACCTCCTTCATCAGATGATTATTTAGATTGGCTGTATTGTCAGTGATAATAGTCTTTGGGATACCAAAGCGACAAATGATGTTGGAATGAACAAAATCTACCACTGCTTTCATGGTGACTGCCTTGAAAGTAACTGCCTCCACCTACTTGGTGAAGTAATCAATGGCAACCAGAATTAATCTATGCCCAGTTGAAGCCTTTGGCTCTATTGGCCCAATAACATCCATTCCCCAAGCAACGAAAGGCCAAGGAGAGGACATGGAATACAACTCCGAAGGAGGCGAGTGAATCAGGTCGCCATGAATATGGCATTGGTGACACTTGCGAACGAAACTAAAGCAATCTCGCTCCATAGTAAGCCAATAATACCCTGGCCGTAGAATCTACTTCGCCAAAACATATCCATTCATGTGAGGTTTGCATACCCCCAAATGCACTTCACTTATGATCCGCTCAGCTTCTGTGGCATCTATGCATCTCAATAAGTTCAAATCTGGGGTCCTTTTGTACAAAATTTCCCCATTCAGGAAGAAACTGCCGGCGAGCCGCCTTATAGTTCTCTTTTTATCTCCCTTGGCATGCTCTGGGTATTCCCTTGTTTTTAGGAACCGTTTTATGTCATGGTACCAAGGTTCACCATCTGGTTCTATCTCCATAGTATTATAGTGGCCGTGTTAATTCTGAATTTTGGATTTGTAGTGGATCAATATGGGTATTGCCTGGATAAGGGAGCATCAAGGCTAAGGTAGGCAAGGCGTCGGCTAGCTCATTGTGAAACCTGGGAATGTACCTGAATTCGATGGATTTGAATCTCTTTCTCAAGTCTTGTACACATTGTCTATATGGAATAAGCTTGATGTCTCGAGTTTCCCATTCACCTTGGGCTTGCCGGATAAGCAAGTCGGAATCTCCCATAACCAATAGTTCATGCACATCCAGATCAAGGGCCATTTTTAGACCCATTATACAAGCCTCGTATTCCGATGTATTATTGGTACAAAAGAAACGAAGTCGGGCCGTTGCAGGGTAATGTTGTCCAATATGTGAGATAAGGATTGCCCCGATCCCAACTCCTTTGATATTGACAGCCCTATCAAAATACATTTTCCATATACAGATGTCATCTGAAACTACTTCCTCTATTGAGTTGACCTCTACATCTGGGAAGTATGTACTCAGTGGCTTGTAATCATCATCAACTGGATTCTCTGCCAAATGATCTGCCAAAGCATGTGCTTTCATTGCGGTGCAAGTGACATAGACGATGTCGAACTCTGTGAGTAGAATCTGCCATTTTACGAGCCTTCTAGTGGGCATTGGCTTTTGAAAGATGTACTTCAAAGGATCCATTCTAGATGTGAGGTAAGTAGTGTAGACCAGGAGATAATGCCTCAGCTTCTGAGTGACCCAAATTAAAGCACAACATGTTCTTTCTAAAAGGGTATACTTAACCTCATAATTGGTGAACTTCTTGCTCAAATAATAGATTGCCTCTTCCTTTTTGCCTGTCACATCATGTTGCCCCAGAACGCATCCAAAGGAATTATCCATCACCGATAGATATAAAAACAAAGGCCGGTTCTTGTGGGACCAATACAGGGAGTTTTGACAGATAACCTTTGTTCCTGTCAAAAGATTTTTGGCAATCGTCCGTCCACTTGATAGCAACATCCTTTTTCAGCAACTTAAAGATGGGCTCGCATGTGTTTGTAAGCTGAGCAATGAACCTACTGATGTAGTTCAATCTCCCGAGCAAACTCATTACTTCAGTTTTGTTCTTCGGGGGTGGCAGATCTCGAATGGACTTTATCTTAGATGGATCCAATTCAATGCCTCTCTGGTTGACTATAAAACCGAGGAGTTTCCCAGATGGCACCCCAAATGCACACTTGGATGGATTGAGCTTAAGGTCATACCTTCGAAGCCGCTCGAAAAACTTTTTCAAATCGCGCACGTGATCAGCCTGTGTCTTTGATTTTATGATGACATCATCAACATATACTTCAATCTCTTTGTGCATCATGTCATGAAAAATGGTGATCATGGCCCTCATGTAAGTTGCCCCACATTCTTTAAACCGAATGGCATAACCCTGTAACAATAGGTACCCCATGGAGTGGTGAAAGCGGTCTTTTCTGCATCATCCTCATCCATTAGAATCTGGTGGTATCCGGCATAGCAATCCACAAAAGATTGTATCTCATGCTTAGCACAGTTATCTACAAGTATGTGGATGTTTGGTAAAGGAAAATTATCCTTTGGTCTTGCTTTGTTCAGGTCCCTATAGTAAACACAGACTCTGGTATTTCCATCCTTCTTTTTCACAGGCACCACATTTGCCACCCAGGTGGTGTATCGTACGGCTCTAACTACATTGGCGCTCAGTTGCTTCATTATTTCCTCTTTGATTTTATCACTCATGTCCGTTTTAAATTTTTGTTGCTTCTGTTGGAGTGGTGGAAAATCAGGATACGTGGGAAGCTTATGAACCACTAAATCAGCACTTAAACCCAGCATATAATCATAAGACCAAACAAACACATCTCTGTATTCAAATAAAATTTGAATCAAGGCATCTCTAGTTTGTTGTTCAGCGTGAATGCTTATCTTTGTTTCTCTGACTTCTTCATGACCTCCGATATTAATTGGCTCAGTTTCATTGAGGTTGGGCCTAGGCTTGTTTTCAAATTGTTCCAACTCTCTTTTTATTTCCTCAACAGCCTCATTTTTATCATATTCGACCTCTTGATGCATTATTTTGAAATTAGACAGCTTTTTAAGATATGGGCGTGAATTTCGCATGCATGTCATGTTATTAAAGCCATCATTAATAAAACTGAAATAGAAATAAAATGACAAGATTTAGGAAAAGGAAAAGATACAATACGAAATTGAACTGCATTTCATTGAATTTGAAAGGATAGAAGGGTTAACATCAAAACAAAATAATCATACTGAGATGTTTGGATTACAACCCTAAAAGTAACCATTATAAAAAGAAGCTGCAAAAGCAAACTACCAAGACTCTTTCCTTGTGGGGAGAGGAGTTGCTTCCCAGTTATTGAGCATGGTGTCTGGGCCAATTAGTTCCACATCGGCATGGCTAGTGCCTTCACCTGCCTGGATCATATTCACTTCAGAAAACATCTGGCTGAGGCCATGGCAAATTTCATCAATGTTTGCCTGTGCCAAGGAATTTTGTCCCTCTTGGAGTCGTGGCTTGACAAATATGTACAAAAGGTGAGGGATGGGTTGCTGCAAGACCCAACCATACTTTTTGCGGTGCTTAGCTTTATCTTCATCTGCTTGTGTTGGCCTAAAACCTAAGCCAAAAGTACCCTTGTTGCTAAAGGGAGAGATGGGTTCCGAAATTCCTTGCAATGATGCCCCCAAGCCTTTTCGTGGCTCATAACCTTGTCTTAGCATAAGTGCAGCCACCATTACAGATATGCCGGAAAGACGAGGATGTAGAATGGGCTTTCCTTCCTCAACATGGTCCACAGCAACCACTTCGAAAGCCTGATAGACAATGGACTTGCACCCTTTCTTGGCCTCAATACACGAAATTAATGGATCTTTATAAATGGATAATTCGTCTTCTCCGTGAACAATAATCTCTTGCATGTCATGTTCGAACTTGAGCATCTGATGCAAGGTGGATGGTACAGCTCGAGCCGTATGGATCCATGGTCTTCCAAGAAGAAAGTTATAAGAAGTTTCCATGTCCACTACTTGGAAGACAATTTCAAAATCGACCAGCCTAATCGTCATGGTGAGGTTGATCTCCCCTATGGTATCTCTCACTGAGCCATCAAAAGCCTGGATGCGAATATTGCTGGGTCGGATTCTGTTTGTATTGATCTTCATGCTTTGCAAGGTAGAGAGAGGGCATACATCTACACTCGAGCCTCCATCAACCATGACTCGCTTTACATAATGCCCCTCACATTTGAAAATCAGGTGCAAAGCCCTATTGTGCCTGGCTCCCTCCTCTGGAAGTTCATCATCAGTAAAAGAGATTATGTTCACCTCGAAAAATCTATTGGCCATCTTTTCTAACTGATTCACCATGGTCTTCTCTGAGATATGTGCCTCATTCAGGATCTTGATTAGTACACGGGCATGCTCTTCTGAGTGTATGAGCAGAGATAACAGAGAGATTTGAGCAGGAGTATTTCTCAACTGGTCAATGATTGAGTAATCCTGAACTTTTATCTTTTTCAAAAACTCTTCTGCCTCTTCTTCAGTGACTGGTTTCTTTATTGGCATTTGGCATTCTCTGATTTGCTTGGCCTTCCTCAACTCTTCTGGAGAGTAACACCTCCCTGATCGAGTCAAACCTCCAGTTTCCCCCACTTCTTCTATGATTTCCTTGCCTTTGTAGGTCACCACAATTTTGTTGTAGTTCCAGGGAATGGTTTGCGTGTTTGTCACATGGGGTTGTATGGCAGGCTTGATTATGATCGGCTCTGTTATACCGCTCGTACCACCCCGATTCTGCCTTGTGATGAGGTGGCCTCCAAGGACATACAACCTTGGACTTGGAACATTGGAGCGAACTTCCAACCTTGAGACATTGGGAACAAATAAAGTTGCCTTTTCTAAGCTCAGGCGCCTTTCACAATCAACGGCACATCTCGTCTTGGACTTACTTCCAGTTTGGTTCTCTCTTGAATCATTCCAGCTGTGATTTCTGCTTGACTAACCGATTTGTATTCTTGATCTTGGCCAATCATTCCCAAAAAATGAACATCATTGTGTACTGGCAACAGCTTATTGGTCACATTAGGAGGGTCCTCGCCATTCGTGACTACAATCAATTTTTCAGCAATGAGTCTTTCTATGGCTCTTTTCAGGGTCCAACAGTCATCAATGCTATGCCCCGGAGCACCTGAATGATATTCACATCTAACATTTGTTTGAAATCCATGTGAATCAGGATACAAATGGTGGGGAGCGATGGGTCCAATCACGCCCATCTGCTTCAACTTCTGGAACAGACTAGAGTATGATTCAGCCAATGGAGTAAATTTTTCCACAGGCCTCTGCTCTCGACCATAATCCTGCCTAGGACGGGTTTTATAGGGTGCCCAAAAATTTTGCTACTGAGGTTGGGGGAATCTTGGAGCTGGTGCCCGTACCTGTTGATTGGGAGGCCGAGCATAGGATTGAGCATTAAACACTGTATACTATGGCAGGCCCATATAGTACTGAGGAATTGGCGGGGGATAGTAATGTTGAGGATAGCTGGATTGCCCATGCTAAACTTGCATATAAGGGTGTGATGCCCCTCTTTTAACTTCCCTAGATCCTGAAGTCATCATGGACCCTTCATCTCTCTTCTTTCTATTTGCCAAACTTCCCGACCCATTTTGGATAGCTTGGGTGGTGGCTTTAAGAGCATCTTGACTTACAATTCTGCCAGTCTTGAGGCCATTTTCGACCATCTCCCCTATCTCAATTGCTTTTGCAAAAGGTTTACCCATTGCGGACATCATGTTCTGAAAGTAATCAGGCTCTTGAGCCTCCAGAAAAATAGTGATCAACTCGTGGTTATCCATGGGTGGCTTAACCCTAGACGCTTGCTCCCTCTACTTTATGGTATATTCCCTAAAGCTTTCAGTCGGCTTTTTCTTCATATTGGACAGGGAATTGCGATCTGATGCAATATCAATGTTGTATTGGAATTGTTTGACGAATGCTTGGGCCATATCATCCTAGACATGCTAGTGAGAGATATCTTGGTCAATGAACCATTAGGAAGCTACCCCCACAAGACTTTCCCCAAAATAAACCATCAACAATTCTTCTTTTCCACCTGCACCCCTCAACTGGTTGCAGTACCTTTTCAAGTGGGTGATAGGGTCGCCATGTCCATCATACTTCTCGAATTTTGGGGTCTTGAACCCTGGTGAAAAATGGATGTGAGGGAACATGCATAAATTGCTGAACGAAACACTTTTGTGATCACCTAGTCCTTGTATGTTCTTTATGTTCTATTCAAGACTTTTCATTTTCCTGGCCATTTTGTCCGGCTCAACCAACTTGGCAGGCTTTTCATTTTCCACTGGTGACTTGTATTGAGGAGTCAAATTGTGTGGAGCCGAGACCTTGAAAGCCATATTTGGAGAGTAGTATTGGCCATCATAAGCAGGAGATGGTGGCTCGTTGTTTGGCCTTGTCACAGGAGGTGGTGGAGGGATTGTATATACCGGTGTGCCAGACACGACGAGATGAGTGTTCCTGACCGGTGCGACTGGAGGTCGCTCATTAGAGGTACCAGGGGCAGCATGGATGTTGTAGTTTGGCACATACCCTGGTGGTAGAATGTGATCGCTCACTGCATGGAGCGGCGGTTGAGTAAATCGGGGTACGGTGGAAGTTCCCTTTGAGGGACCCTGGGGTGGAGACTGACCGAAAACCCAAGCTTGATATACATCAGACAGTTGTTGTCTCAATTTTCTTATTTCCTCCGACTCTTGCTCAACTGACTGACCCTGGGGATTGTCACTGACCAACTCGATTTCATCACTGTTATCCATTGCTACCGCTCCCTTTGATCTGGTGAAGTAATGATGTTTTGCCAGTTTCACCACAAACCAACCACCTTAAGCTTACTTTAATAAGAGACAGCAAACTTGTTAGGGTTAGACATTTTATTGATATGAATCACACGTAATATGTCATGCTCCTAACATCATCACCATTTCTAACATGCTTTTGGAAGGCTTCATGTTTCATTCCGGCTTACCAGGTTGCTTCTTATTGACCGTCTTATTTTCTTCTCTTCGTATTTCTTTTTACTCGCGCCTCATTTTTATCCCTCATCTTAGAATCGTTGAAAAATATTTTGATCAAACCTTTTGGGGGTTGCCTACGTATCATGTCGCCGCATGAATCAGATCATTACGTAGTTCAGGGAAAACAGTAATAGTCTTGATTTGATTTTTCATTTTTTATTTAGATTTTTATTTTTTTAAATCAATTCAAATACAATGACAGAAAGGACATTACATCAAAAATGACTTAACAGACTCTAACAGGAATAAAATACAATGATAAAAAAAAAATCAACGATGACTCAAACTAAAATATTGTTGGGTTTGAAAAGTCTTAACAACTACGACTATGTTTCAAACTCCACAATCTTTGCTTTCAACCACTGGAACATCTGCTCATGGTGGATCTTGCCCTGGCTGACCCCCCCAATGTACGGTACATCCTCTCTAACTCTGTTGCAAGATGACGGCCAAAGGTAGGTGCATGATCCAAAAACTTCTCATAATCCATCCCTTGGTAGTTCACATAGCTTTGAGCGGTATAAACAGCCAAATCATGGACTTGCTCTCTGAAGTACTGAAAGTTCTGGTCTCGATCTTGTAACTGCTGCTGGCCAGTGGTGGCTATCTCTCTTATGTGTCCCTCGCGATCTAAAGCTGACTCCAACTGAGCCCGAAGTCTAGCTTGCTCGAGTGTTGCCTGAGCCCTCTCCCTATCAAAACTTGCATGTTGGTAGTCTCTATTGTTCCTTCTAATTTCTTTCAACTGTGCCTGAAGATGAGCTTCCAAACGTACCCAATGGACCCTCTCTCTCTTGAACTGAGCCCTCTCTTCTTCAAATTTTGTTGCTTGGAGATCCTTTCTAGATTTGGCCTCCTCATTTAACTGTACAATTGTTTCCTTGGCTTTGTCCAATGCCTTTTCAGTTTTTGCCAAGATGGCGTCATAATCTTGCACCTTTCCCATCAAATTGGCAATGGTTTTCTGGTCTTTCCAACTTCTGACCGGTTCCTTGGAGGCTTTCTTCATTTGTTGAAGTTGGACACGAAGGGCTTCATTTTTGCGGATCAGACTCTTCTTTTCCCTTTCAGCTTCTTGTGCTTGCAAGTCTTTCTCAAAATGGAGGTTCCTCAAATTTTCTTCCAAAGCATGGATAGTTGCTTGGTATCCCTTTTCCTTTTCACCCCAAGCTAACCGTTCATGGATCTTATCATTAATGTCTTGAACATGCGGCCTTTCAGACTCGAGATCTGGCTCATCACTTACGCAGGATCTTTTTTCAAACAACCTAGCATAACCCGGAACTACCTCACCTCTCGCAGTATCTGATACCTGGGTATCATCTTTCAAGTAGCGACAACCATTCCAAATTTGCTGGATTAAAGCCTCGGGGAGTGGGGCTTCGGGGTGTAGCTCAATCACTTGCACGCTCAAATCTTCATCCTCAGGCTCTATTTGGTACCTTCCTAGCTGTCTTAGAATTCTCTGTGGCACATACGGCTGGACACTTCTCAAACCCAACAACAACAAATAACTTTTTAATATCGACATGTGTATCACCTCTCTTACTAGGAGCCATCCCAAAGTCCACTCAATTTGACTTGCGTTTAAAGATCTTAGGTGGGATATCCAGGCTTCCACCCCTTTTGGAGAGTTGTAAACTTTTACTCTTTCTTTGTAGCTCTCAATAAAATTATTCGTGCTCGGACCATTGCTCATGAACTTGGGGTGATGTCGGAGATGCTCAATCAACCATATTTGCAACAAAATATTGCACCCTTCGAAGAATTTTGCCCTGGACTTACACAAAGTCAACGCCCGATAAATGTCTGATAGAATGATCGGGGCAAGAGTGTGATGTTCTTTGGTAGTGAGGACCTGTACAACCCTGGTTGTGCGGGTATCAATTGTCCGCTCCTCGTTTGGGCAGACCATAATTCCCAGAAACGCCACCATGAAGGCGAAGCGACGGTGAATCTGCCATGTGTCCTTGTTCTATTTATTGTTAAGGCCCTTTTCATACATTTCGAACCCATTTGGCTACCCGAACCTGGAGTACAAGAAGTAGAAAGAACAGCACCCTTCGACTACGTTGGTCTTTCTGATTTTCTTACTAATATTCAGAAGATCGAAGAGTCGGTGAACAGAGAGAGCCCTCGGGAATATGAGCTTCTGGTTTCTCAAATCCCTGCCAAACCCGGAATATCCAACTATCTCTTCTAAAGTGGGAGTAAGCTCAAAATCGGAGAAGCGAAAGACATTGTGAACGAGGTCCCAAAAGGTCACTAGTGCCTCAATCAAATCGTCATGTGGTTTAACTTTCATAATATCTGTGAGGGATCCTAGGTGCTTGGTGACCCATTTTTGACCATCTTTTCCCAAGTCATACCACCACATCTCAAGCTGAAGTGGAGCTTCGTCTACAACCTTCAAACGTGCGTTTTGAACAATGCTCATTTTGTACATGTGGGTGGTTAAGGTAAGGGTTGACGCTAGTTCAAAAGACAAAACCAATGCACTCTTTTTGTAAAATAATCTTTTGTAAATAACCTAATTTTAAAAAAAAAGTCAAAGAGAGGGTGGCTATTTTTGCAACTATGCCCCTTCATACTTCTAAGGAAAAATTTAGGACCAAGGGAAGTGCATTATGGTAAAAGTGATGCCAATTGACAGACACGTCCGTTCTTGCTAGTACAGCCCTTCGACAATTTTGAAGATGTTCTAAGGCTATTCTGATAGAAACGGCTCGGGATTAACCGAAGTTGGGTCGGCTTATTTGGACAAAACAAAAGAAAATACTACACATTTCTTTCTTTTGGTTATTTTTGCAAAAATGGGGCCGAACCCTATGAAGGTTACCTACGTATCTCACATCCGGTGAGAATCAGACGCGCGTAGTTCGTAAATATTTCAGGAATGGGATGACACCTTCTCTTTTTTTTTTTTTTGAAAAATTTTAATCTTATTTTGTAATAATCGTTTTGGGGTAAACTTTTGACAAGGTTTCTGGATTTTCAAATACCGAGATTTTTTTTTTAAAAAAATGGGTAAATTTTCTCTCCTATTTTCTTCCTTCTGGTTTTCTCTCAGTTCTTATTTTTATTTTTTAGAAGCCGGTCAACATGAACAAACCGAATTAAACATAATGTACATGTAGCACATAAGATACATCAGGATAGTCCTGTAATTTTCAGGTACACCTGTCCTAGACGGACCCAGCCCCTGTGTTGAGTCCCCAAAGTCAAATGCACATGATGCAAACAAACGTTCCTACTAGGGATCCGACATGAGGATATGTTATTGTAGGTTTAAAATCCTGGGCGGAGTGTTTTAGACCTGGCTTACCCAAGCGGACAGCTCGAGCCGAGGTGGGGGCAACGTACCGGGAGCATGAAAGTCTACACGGCCTAGTTACTGATCCAGCCTCGTTCTATTTGGTAAGACCTCTAACAGAAAAGTGGTCCACGCGCACGTATGCACCATAAATTCAGAAGACTCAGAAAGGAGGCGTAAGAAGGTAGTTTATATAGTTCAAATAATATCAAAGCGGTAAATGATCGGCAATTAGCATATTAGGCCCACAAACACAGTAATATCAACAATCAAGAAAACCAAGTATAGATCACATCACAAGCTCGAATTCTGAACCCTGAACCAGAGGTTCTGGGTTCTTTTCCCCATCGGAGTCGCCAGAGCTGTCACACCCCTTTTATACCTCCCAAAAAGATATGTATTATGGATTATTATGGATTAAAGAGTTTTTCCAATTAAAGTAACAAATTTGAGTAGGGATTATTTTATTTACAGAGTCGCCACTTAAAATTGATTTTTTTGGGTGTTCCAAGTCACCTTTTATTTGAATCTCTAGTCAAAGGAAGGTTTGACTCTATTGTTATTGGTCTGCGAAAATAAAGTCCGGGTAAGGAATTCTGTTGACTGAGGAGAAGGTGTAATGCATTCCCCGAGTCCCGTGGTTCTAGTACGGTCACTTTATTGACTACATTTGGCTTGAATTAATTTTGGATAAATTGTGATTTATTGGTTTCCATGCTTTATCTATCTGCTTTTAATTATTAAAATATAGAATTATCTTTGAAACGAATCACGTGTGTGTATCCGTTTTGTTTATTATGCCAAAATCATGTCACGCGTACGTGTACACAATTAATAGCATTTTATTATATTAAGATTATTTTGACCAAAGTTGCGCGAACACATATTTGGGAATCGTAAGTATGTCACGCGAACGTATACATAATCACGATGATTCAATTAATTAAGAGTACGCCTAAAGCATTCTAGCTCATTCATGATTTGTTTCTTTCCTAAGTTTGAGATTATTGTGAAGGCCATGAATTATGGAATTACTTGTGGAAGAAGTGTATGATTTTAGATATTGGAATAAATAAACCATCATATACCAATACCCTACAATCCAACAATTGAAGCCCAAACTCATTAGGGTCCAAATCTTCCCAACTTTAAAGCAAGTTTGAATACCATATTTCCAAAAATATAATTAAGCATATAACATTTAAGGACTAACTTACATTATTAGTTATAAAGTTTAAAGGCAAATAAATAAAATCACATTAAATAAGATAAAATGAACAGAGGGAAGAATAAACCTTTAATGCAAAATTTTCAATTAAATGAGTCTCCAAGAACAGATAAAATAACTTAGACGAACGTCGAACAAGCATAAGCGACGAATATCATCAAACCTAGTGAACGGAGCTCCAACGGAATCCTCGACCTCGAC